AGTAAGGAGGAGATATATATATATATATATATATATATATATATATATATATATATATCTGACTGTGTGCAACCATTTCGTGATTCCGGCGTGACAATAGCGATACAGGCCGTTTCACAAACTTGGAAAACTTCTTTTTTCGAATTGTGGAAAGAATTTTTTTCTTTTCTTTTCTCTGTTATTCAAATTCACTTGTCCCTTTTGTGATAAATAAATAGATAAATAAATTTTGAATAAATGGATTTTATCTTTATCGATATATTATTATTATTTATTTTAAGTGTTATTATGGTATTATGGTATAGGATTGAAAAAAATTGTTTTCAATTGTTAACAATGAAAATAATAATTAATGATCGATATCGAGGATTGATAATAGGCGAAATATCGAACAATTCGAAGGAAAAGTGTCAGTTTGTGAAACATCCTGTATACTCGCCACGCGTAATAATAAAGAAGAGTCCAAGTTTCCCTGCTGATAATCTTACTTTCATCGACTTCTTTTATTTCTTATCGTCCAATCTCACCAAGCGACTTTATTCAAATTGATCGATATCCTTCGTAAATTTATTCTGTAATTCGACACGAGAACGAGCACATCTGTCCCGATCGAAAATAATAGCTCTTACCAAAATAGGATGATATCCTCTATTCTCTCGTATTCTATCCATTTAAAGAACTGTATACCCATTTATCCACACCCAATAAACATTTGTTACTGAATTACTACTACAATATTTACAAAAATTGCTTTCGCAAACTTTTGAAAAGTAATATACATTCCATGTATAGGCATCTTTCTTACCGATCGATAATAATTTTAAAAGGACAAAAACATCGCGATTCTTTCGCTCATAAACGTTATAAACGAAGCCAATGAAATTAAAGCTCGTTTAAAAGAGGGAAACTGAAGTAGGCTCGACTCGAGCGTCCCCGAATTGAATTTATTTCAATTCCCAATTTATTTCACGATCATCCCGTTTTGCCAAATAGCACGCAAACACGCGATAAAACGTACCGCAGATATTATCGATGATCTCACCACTCGAAAACTCGCGACACGAAAGTTATTAAACGCTTAAATTTGCTTGTAAATTAACCATACGACGATCGAGCGTGAAAATTCCACATTGCGATAAAGTGGCGCTCGAACGAGAATTTTATGACGAGATAAAGTTGGCCGAATGTATAACCTCCAACTTCATTAACTCGAGTTTGTAAATTTACGGGAATATTAAGTTTATTAGCAGAGGGCAATAATTCGAATCGTTAACACGTGAGGCATTAATAGATCTGTTATTGGATTAGGCAAGTTAATCAGAAATTAGGTTAGGATTTGCTTCCTCGATAAGGTACAATAATCGATTCGTATATACGAATTTGAGAAAAAATTATTTGACCAATCTGCATATATATATATATACATCAAAGATGTTTTATTTACACAACAGAAAGAGTAAAATAGACTTCGTTTCTTGATTTTTCAATACTTTCCCTTTTTTTTTATATTTACATCGAATACATACCAATTACAACGATGAATCTTTCCATCTTTTAATTCACGCTCGATTTCGACTATAATTCGTGTGGCAATTATATAATTTCTGTTCCAGGGAACGCGTTTCTAGTGAACGTCGCGTTGGCGGATCTATTAGTGACGGGGCTCGTGATACCTGTGTCGGTGATCGTGATACTGGCTGGCCATGAAGAGTCGTTGAGCACATGCCGATTCGAATGCACTCTGGAGGCCCTCTGCTTTCTGGTTACCGTACTAACGTTAACCACCATTGCCGCCGAGAATTATACTCGTTTGTGTCTGCCTCACGAAAGGTAAGAGCTCGCAACTCGTTTTATCATATTGATGGCGAACCTTTGTCTTTGATCGATTTCAACGATGTTTAATGATGATAATAAGAATAATAATAATAACAATAATCACGACCAAGATACTCGAGGCGGAAATTACCGATGTAATTTAGATTTCAAGGATGGAAGAATTTTATGCGGAATTAAAAAGAAAAAAAAAAAAGAGGACGGTGTATGAATACTTTATATTGTAAATAGTTAATATCTTCAAGGGGGAAAGAAAAAGTTTCTACGTGGAATTTGATAATATAAGGAAAGACGACGAGGAATTCTTTTCTTTTTTTTTCCCTTTTTTTTTTTAGTTTTGCATTATTTTAATGAAAGATAAATGAAAATTCGCGGTGTTTTTATATACAGGAGGATGTGTGCGAGGATAAAAGGTGAAAAATGAATAATTCTTTGATTACATGCACATAATAAGAAAAGAAAAGGAGTTTAAAGGTAACGGTATGGATGAACGAATAATTTCCTTTTTTTTTTTTTTGGTAACGTAAATTGAGAACGATTTTCAATTTTTGCTTCTATATTTGCTTCGTTTCGTTTGAAAAATTACGTAATATATATTATATATATATATATGTATATATACATACATATGTATCTCCTCCTTTCCATAATTTTTAGAAATTTCATTGTTTTTTTTTTCTATCTCTCTCACTCGAAAAAGTAGCTACGATCGAAAAATAGATCCTCTCGATTTTGGCATAAACGATTCTAATTAACCCTTAAAAAATAAAAAAACCAATTCCTCTTGACTTGTAATTGCAATTTAATTAATCATCAATAATAAATAAATTCGATTATCACTATTTGATGACACGATGAAAACACTTATCCATAAACTTATCAGTATTCTCAAAATTCTGTTTGTTATAGCGTGTAATTTCAGATTTTTTAATTTTTTTTTTTTTTTCCATATCTATAGAAAGATAGCGAATTTAGAAAAAGAAAAAGCCTGTTTAGAATTTCGAATTGAACTTTATATATTTAGAAATCTATTATACGAGCAAAATACGCATTTTTTTTCACTTCGACGCAAATTTCAATTACATTTAGATGAAAAGAAAAGTAAAAGTAATAGCAAGTTGCATGCGAAGCATTTCTTCCCTTTTCCCTTTTCTTTTTGCACCGATTATTTATTAGACAATTAATCAATTTTCACTTTTTGTCGAATATTTATATATTCTCATTATATTATATTGCAAATAGCTGCGCAAAATAGAAACGCAATTATAGTAATAGGCACGAAATAATTATCCCAAACAAATCGTAATGGCGTCCACGATTATATCGTCTTCTTCTTTTTTAAACGCAATTTCTGTGATGGAAAATTATTTTCATCATTTTCAGAAAACAGAAAATTCGAGAAAAAAAAAAAGGTGAAACGATTCGTTAAATCTTGATAATTAAATAAACTTCCACCATTTTAATAAATTCCATGATATGATAAAAAAAAAAAAATCGTGGACACCATCATATTTTTATCCTTTACTTACAATTTGATTTTTCACGTTTCAAAAAAAGAAAGAAAGAAAAAAAAATGTCCGAGCAACGAACGCACAGCTTACAGAGTTGATCGAACATGTAGAATCGGAAAGGGATGAAAGATTTGTTTAAAGGAAAAAACTTTATTTTCCTTAGGTTAGAGAGGAATGCAGCGATTGTTTCGATGCATTCGCTTCACCTTTCGCTTCGCCAAACAGAGTGAGTCTGTTGCAATTTCGAGTGCCTATTGTTGGCAACGGCAGAACGATCACAAGGGATTAAAGTGGTTTTCCAGTGAAGCTTGAAAAACCTGCACGTACACCGCCATCGTTACCGAGATCTACGAGAAATACAGTTGCATGCACTCGCTTTAAAGATAGGAGGGGATAGATGCACGATCCTTTTCAAAGTGTCGTGGGAGAAATATTCGTAGAGAGGAGGGGAAGGAAAAAAAAAAAAAAAATGTTTGGAATTTTAGCGCAGAAATTTAGGGAGGAATTTACAATCCTTCGAATTTATGCAGAATGTTCGGCCGGATAATAGATTTGGTAAAATCGAAAGTAATAATTTTATGAATTTTAATATTTGTTTTGAGATACTTGAAGATGATTAAGAATGAATGAAAAATTTCGTTCGAAAAATTATTTATTTCCTAGTTATTTAAAAATTTTAAAATATCCCTAGCTGCTCGCATCAGTCGAAAAAACAAACTGAAATGAAGTTTTTCTATTTTCAATTTTCGTTTTATTTTACTTTGGACAAATTTTTGAATATTTTCCATAATTTTTAATCCTCGATAACACGAGGAGTTCTTTGCACTTAAAATATAACTCCTTTATTCTTAGTTACTAACGAGTTAACGATCGACGAAAATATTTCTAGATCACTCGCGCCAACTAATTGAAAAAAAAAAAAAACTAAGACTATGATAGTTACAAGATAAAGCCTCGAACGAAACATTTTTTTATTCCTCGTTTTCGTTCTTATTTTATTTAAAATAGTAGTTTTAATCGTCGTTTTAATTATATAAAAAAAAAAATAACTAAAAATTTTTAACACAATCGAGAAATCATTTCTTTAATTTTTAAACACGCATGGTCGAACATCCCGCACATCTAACGGAATGGCGATTTTTTTTCCGAACGTTCGTTGCTCCCCTACAAATATGATACCCTAGAGAAAAATACTAGACTTGTGCATCGTTTTTCTATCGCAAGTTCTCGGAGGAGGGAGAAGAAAAAAAAAAAAAAACGGCTTTCACTTTGAATGGAGGTCTCTTGAATAAACCCCTCGTCCATGAAATTCCACGATATTGTTAAACTTGAATCTTTAGAGAGAATGGAAATTTTCTTTCTTTCTTTTTTTTTTTTTTCCAACGTGGAAATCGGACTTGATAACGATTTTTTATTAATTTTTTAAATTTCATTCTATTTTATTCTTTTTTTTCTTTTTCACAATAAGTACACGTAGTGATTCTGCTTGATCAGGTTTTATGAAGATCTGGCTTTGATAGATTTACGATATTCTTTTGAGGTAGATAAATTATAGTACTATCGTGGGGAGGGAACAATGTTTGAGAACTCGTGCAGCGTGCTCAGCAATTCGTTCCTTACCCCTGTCGTCGTCCACGTTTCAAACTAATATCGTGATAAATCACGTATCCACCATGTGAATAAAGGAAACGAAGTGGCTTTCTTTTTGTCTCTGCAAATATTAAACGAGATAATTTTCCATACATCACTCGATGAAAGCTATTCGATTTTTCTTTTCTTCTTTTTCTTCTATCCAATATTATTTTCTCGAGTTCGAGGGAGGGGAAGAGGGGGGACCTTCCGCGCGAGACAAATGCGAATTCTGCTCCGATATATTCGAAATATATCGATGGAAGAAACAAGATAATCGAGTCAAGCTATAACTGTTAATTGGAAAAAGATTTTAGGAGGAATTTTATTGAAAAAATTGCATCTACGCTTGTTTTTCGAAAATTTTTTTAAATTTTGAAAATTAATACCAAGATCGTATAAAAGATTAATTTTTTCGTATTCAAAAATTATGGAAGCACGTTCCATTTCACAAAAGGTGCAATTGCATTTGCCTCTTCAACTCTAAAATTTTCGTTAAACGTTAAAAATATAAAAAATAAAAATTTTCTAACATTCACAAAGGATATTTTCGAGATATAAAATAAAATAAAATTCAATATTTTTAATTTTCATTGAAAATATTGAAAAAGTTTGTCCTCCGCCAATGGAATAACATTTATCCGAAAAATACGCGCGTGTATTTCATTATCGTCGATAAATTATCGAACCGAGAAACGGATTCACTCGAATCACGCCCGGATGGTATTCCCCGGTAATGCCATGCCCCGGATCTCTTTTGACACTTTGACTTTGATGTGGATCCGCTTTGTGTAGAACCCTACCAGTGTCACGATTGAGTTCCTAATTTCACATTCTACGCGGCCCAACTCCGTGAAATTCGTGGCCTTCCGAGTTTTCGAACCCGTATCTATTCCAATATATTCAGACACAAAGCCCCTTGTATTAGATAAGTACCTTATTCCTAATCGATTGGCAAAATACTTGAAATTCCAAGAATAATTGGCCGTGTTCCGCGACAAAGCTCTCCGCATTCTTGTTTCAATTGTTATCCACCACTTGTACTTGAATGCAACGCTTGTTGTTCTTAATTTTTTTCTATTTATTTGGAATTTCACCGATGTCCACAATGTTTAACAAGGAGTGATTTTTCAGCAGCAAGATAAGAAGAAAGTCAAGAATTGAAAAAAGTGAGACGAGTTTGAGGAAAACTCTAGGCACATTTTTCTTTGTTCTTTGTTCCATTTTGACGTGGTTAATTATTCGTTTTAAGTTTTTTGAGTGGCTGAACATCTCATCACGATTCACATCTCTAAGTCTAGGGAAAATTTTTACAGCTAAGAACGTAAGGATCTACAACTCTAGATTGCAAAAAAATATTTTACAAAAGATCAACTATATCTAGGAAAATTAACCTAGGAAACTAGGTTAGACCTAGGGGCTAGGGGAAAATGTCTCAACAAAACGTCTATTGTACCTAGGATGTTCGACATAAATTTGATTGAAATCTACAATCTACAAGGAGAATGGCTTGATTCTCACGATTACGTTCACCTAATAAATATACAATCCTAAAAAAGCTTGATCACTATCATACACAACCTAGTTTTACCTATTAAAACTTTCACTCGTATCATATATCAAGATATTTCAACTACTTGCCAAAATATACTTCTCCAAAATACGTAACCCTTATCTCAAAATCACCAGCAACGTTTCACTCTGATCACAATCCGTTCCACACTTGCAGGTACACACCGCATTGTTTGATTTCAATTCCAACCAATTCAAACCACCTTAAAATCCCTTCCCCTTTCAAAAATCTTCGTTTTCATCATGTATATTCCACTTACAGATACGGCGTGCTGACCCCAAGCCGCGTCACAGCGACGATCATAAGCGTCTGGCTGATATCCGCCATGACAGTGGTGTTGCAATCGTCCCTGGACGTAGGTCCCGACTTTTGCCGGCGACGTTTCACCGGTATAGCGATGGAGCAGATAATAGGCGCCACGTTCCTAGTAGGGTTGCCAACCTTGACGACCATATTCCTCTACGTGAAGCTCGTGATCCGCGTCCGCCACGCCACAAGGGGCTCGTACAAGCCACCTATCGCATTCTCCTGGGACTACGAGCTCGCCAAGGCCAACATATACAGCTGCGTCATGTTTGTCGTGTTCTGGCTACCTTTCGGCATAGTCGTGTGCCTCAACTCGTTCAAACCGATAAGCCCACGTGTCCTGTACAACCTGGCCTGGTTCGCCCTCTCCAAATCCTGTTTCAACAATCTGATCTATTGCGTGGCGGACAGGCACTTCAGAAGCGCGTACGTCAAGCTTTTCCATTATTGCTGCTGCAAAACAACGGTGAGTTTTTCGAGGAGGACGCGCGGAGAGGGGGGCCGGAACACTAGCGACGTGCGCCTCAGAGTTCACATTATACACTCGTACGCGAGTCCTGGCTCTTGTCGGCCACCTGTCGGCAGGCCTAACGGCCGTGACGTTTACGAGCTTTGAATTCGACGAAGTCACGACGTGTTTGGGACATGGATGTATCTTAGAAGGTACCAACGATCGCCGTCCACTAGAGAGATTGATTATATTTCGGTTTTTCGTGTCGACGAGATATTCCCGTGATCGGCTAGATTGTTTCTTCGGTGTTGTATAATTGAGATTTGAAGTATTTATTTATTTATCTTTAGGATACGTTGAGGATCGAAGGGTTTGTAGGGAAGAGTATTCTTAAGATGGTTTTTGGCATACAGGGTGTTGATTCTTTGAAGTAATATGTAATTTCTTTAGTGGTTGAAAAGAATGCAAGAGTTGCATATGCACATTGATTGAGATTTATTTGTTTAATTATTACTTTTAATTTACGTGAGAGATGATTCTATATCTCCATTTAGTTTCATCCAATGCAAACTTTAATTATTTGTAATCAATAAGTTTCAATCGAATATATTAGAGTCCTTTGTACTATAATTATTTTCAGATAATTCTGGACTAACTTTAACTTTATTTAGAACATAGTTTTGATTTTTATATCAAGTATATTTAACTCAAGAATTCTTTAAGAAAAGAGTCAAACACTCTTATCGAATATTTTGTTGAGGAAAAAATTGGAGATTCCAGAATAGTTTTTTAAGGAAAGAACAAAATTTTTAAGAATAGTTTTTATTATCAACTCTTTAATTTTCAAAGATAGGGAAGAGTTTTCAATACAGTAGAACCTTTATTATCTGAAGTATAACAAGTTACATTTTATTTTGTTATATAGACAAAATTAAATTCCTACCAAATTATGTACTTACATAAGTGCCATGATTAACATTGTAGATATAATATTCTCGTTTCAAATAGCACACTGATAATTAAATGTTCAGGCATTCGGATAACAGATGTTCTACTGTATCTTTCCATTCTCTTATGTTCCTCTAATGTTCAATCAATTGACATATTAATATATCATCTATAATTGTTAATTAATATTCATCAAGAATACATGGAGTATGGTCTTCATTGCAAGAAGGTTATGATCATATTCTATATTTCTCGATGAATTCTTTTAATTTTCGTATAAATATTAAAAAAAAAAAGAAAAAAAAAGAATAGAATAAAATAATATGGCTACTATCCATTATTTTGATACTAACAAAGTTTAATTCAATCTTCTATTTTGGACATATACAGGATGTTTAACTACAAATGTTTAAAAATTTTTCAAAGCAAAGTAACGAAAATTAAAAATAAAAATAAAAATAGCATTTTCTTTCTTTGCTTTGTTAATATTATCGTTTACCATTAAAAATTTAAGATAATTGCCGAGTTGCTCGCCATACCCGTTTTTATTTTTAATTTTCGTCCTATTTTGCAACATCTATAACCAAATATTCCGAACAAATTTTGTCCAAATTTTGGCTGGCAAAAGGTCAGACTACTCGTCTTGCACGAGTAGCATCGAAGGAATGTAAGTAAGATATCGACACTGAAACAGGAAATCGCCGTCCATTGGGAATTTTATCCTGTTGTCGTTCCGATACCAACGGATGTTTCCATCTTTCGGTCTATATTCTTCCACTTTTATTCTTCCAAGAATCGTTTTACGATACAGTTACATATCTCGAAGAAAAAAAAAAAAAAATAAACGTTCGTCTCCCGTTCGAAAATAATAATAATTATCGTGGCCTCTCGCGATTGGTAAGATTATTTAATTTTTATTAATGATATCATTGTAATTTCTCTATTTAATGTTAAAATTATCATAAATTTTTATAGCGTTATCTACAACTCGTTAGTGCTTTATTTAGTTGTAAATTATTGCGCAAGATGGCCACGGTATCGACTCGACTCGTGGGTAAGTACACACAGATCGGTTATTCAATTTCGTGTATTCAATTTATAAAGTAGAATTTCTATTTTTCTTTTTTTCTTTTTTTAAGAGTGTTTCGTTAGAATTGTCGAATATCCTGGTAGGAATGGATTTAGCTTTAAGACACTATCCTTATGGATTGGACGATGCAAAAGTGTCGACACTGCGTGACAAAAGTTACTAGAAAATTTCTAGTTCCTTTTTACAGTATTTGGTTACGCGTAATGATATTATTATTGTCATTTTCGTGCGAATCATAGAAAGACGCGAAATGAATCGATGAAAATTAGTTATTTTTATATTTTTCAATTAAATAAATACGTTTACTATTCCATTTTAGTTTTCGCGAAATTAAAAGAATATTTTATTACAACAAATTTTGAAATCTAACATTCGATCGAAAATTATTAAAAATCGAATAATAAATTCTGTGAAATATTTGCCATCTATTTACATTCCAAGATGAAAAATTTAATCACCAAAAAAAAAAAAAAAGAAAAAAAAAGAAAAATCGATAAACGTGATCATGAGACAAAAATTTCTTCCTCTTCGAAGGAAAAACTTGATGCCTCGTTTTATTAAATTTTGCGAGCAACGTTTAAACATTTGATTTATACAACAGGGACAGGGAAGAATTTAATTACCGAATACTTTGCTACGATTAAATTCGTTCGAGTTACGCAATCTATCCGTATTTAACGCTCGAAGCTAATCGAAGAAAAAGTTTTTCCCATCCGAAGATCTGACAGTTCGAAACTTTGTAAGTTTACGAGTTAATTTAGCCGAAAAGTTCTTTTATCGAGCAACCAGGCCCTTGTACTTTCAACTTTACTCGTTTAATCGGCATTTATCATGCCCGCATTAATTATTCCGAATCGCAAATTTTTTTTGTTGCCATCGTGTGAAACCATTGTATTTTATTATGTCATTTTTATTTCTTTTTGCAAAATGAAAAAAAAAGTAAGAAGATCGTTACGAAATATTTCAATTTCTTTCACTTATATATATTCAATTCTTATTGCATATTTTTTTTTTCTTTTTCCTAAAAAATTCTAATTCTATCTTATTTCTCCCCATTTTCAAAAATTTTCTATACACGCAATCGATCGATATGAAAGAAACTCCATTCTTTGGACGAACGTTTCCCTGATGATTTTCTTCATTTTCGAACGAGCATAACAAAATGTGTAAAATGTTATCCAAATAACATTTCGCTTCGAGTATATATATATAATAAAAAAAAAAAAAAAAAAAAAATACTAC